GGTGGGGGGGGGGGGGGAGAAGCAGCCTGAGTGTGTGGTGTCACCGTCCCACACTGCGTGCTCCCAGGATGGGGTGGCCTGGCTGCTGTGGTCTCCCCTCCCCGCCCCACCCCACCCCCATCCCCGTGCCACTGTCAGGCCAGGGTAGGGTCTCAGAACCCCAGAGATGGTGCCTTGCTGGGGGGGGTCCCTTCCGGCCAGGTCCTGACTGCAGCCTCTTGTCCCCAGTGGGGGGCAGGGCCTGGCACCCCCCGAGGGCTTTCCTGTGTGGTTCCACCGAGGCAGGGTCTGGGGGGGGCCCAGATCCCCGCCCCTGCCCCGGGCTCCCAGGCCTTGTCTGTGCCAGAGCTGACAGGCTCACCCAGAGGTGGGTCCCTGTGACTCTTTCTTTGTTTCTCTTCTTTTTCTTTTTTAAAAAATATTTTTTTAAAATTAATTTCAGCGAGGAAGAGAGAGAGAGAAACATCAATGATGAGAGAATCATGGATCGGCTGCCTCCTGCACACCCCACTCTGGGGATCCAGCCTGCAACCCGGGCCTGTGCCCTGACCAGAATCGAACCCTGACCTCCTGGTTCGCAGGTCGACGCTCAGCCACGGAGCCACGCCCGCGGGGCCCTGTGACACCTGCTCCCTTTTCTGTCCGCAGGAGCCAGAAAGCTTCGGCTCCATGCTGGAGCTGTCCTGGCGAGGCACGCAGCCCATCGAGCTGGGCAACGGGCAGACGCGGCGGTTTCTGCAGGACGGGGACGAAGTCATCATCACAGGTGCGGGCGTCTCCGGCCTGTGTGCGCTGTCCGTCGGCTGGGCGGCCCTCTGGCTGGCTCGGCCCCCTCCGGCATCCCCAGTGTCTGCTCGCTCTGTCCCTCATCCCAGCCTGGGGTCCCAGGGGTTCTCCATCGGACCCTCCCAGACCACAAAGGCCCCGGATGCCCTGCTCTGCCCCCGGCTCCCTGCGCAGAGCGAAAAAACAATGTCAGGTCGCCATCCATCTGGACTTAGCAGAGACCCAGGTCCGGGTGTCTGTGAGACGGGGGAGGGGACAGTGAGGGCCAGCTTTGCCCACCGGGACCGAGTGGGGGGGCGGAGTAAGAGGATGTCATCACCGTCTGCATTCAGGAAGCAAACACAGTCTGTGCCTTTTGCACATGCTGTTCCCTCCGTCTGGCATGCCCTTCCCGGAGAACTCCTACACACCCGTCAACGCCCAGCTCAGATGTTCCCTTCTTTCTGCCCTCTCAGCGCTTGGCTGCCTTCTCTCCTCTAACTCTTGTCTAGATGTGCCAGACCTTCCTCTCTGCCTTCCCCTCAAAATATCCTTGGTCAGTGGGTGGGATTCAATGAATGGCACTAACGCCTGTGGGGCATCTACTCTGTGGGCGAGCATGTGCTTGGGGGGAGCTACGCGGGGGCATTTCATCGGATCGTCATGTGCCTGAGAGGCAGGGGCCGTTCCTCCTGTTCCCAGGTGAGAGGGCTGAGCTCAGTTTTCTGTGTGTCCATCTCATCCTGACGGCTGTGCTTGCTCACTGACCCATTTCACAGATGGGGAAACTGAGTCTTCGGGGGGGACCCAAGGTCACGGGGCCGGTCGGTGGGGAAGCCAGGCTTTGAACTCGGGCCTCTCGCTTCAGGCTAAACCCAAACCCACGCGGGAAGCTGTGCAGCCCCCCGGTGTGTTTCTGTGGGCCCGTGAGGGGGGTTGGGGAGTCCCACCTCGAAGGCCCCTGCAGCTGCGACGGGCTGTCCTCCCTCCGGT